GGATGGATTTCCAGTTTATGGACTTTCGGACCGTGCTTTGACCTGCCCTTGGACCCGTTTGGATTTGGATGCCGTTTTGTCTTCCCCGTACACTGTCTCACGGACGGTCACTATTATTTTGTGCACCATTAAACCCTTGTGTGTTCCTTTTTACCACGCCTCCTGTTTTCTCCAGCTCTTACCGCATCGCATAGGGTCTTCTACAAGATCCGACACGGATTCCTGTCCGTGTCCGTTACAATGTTAGCCAAGGGGATAGCAAATGACTATAATGATCAAAAGAATCAGATCAGCAAAATGGATCAAATATCCATCTCTTATTTGTAACATTCTTTCTCTTCCTATATTTTAAGAAAATTAATTTCCAAAAACAGTATAGTACTACTATATGTACTGCAGACATTTTACAAAGATATTACATAAATACACTAACCAATTAACAATAAACACCTTGGCTGAGTATCCAAATGTACAAGGATTTTGGGTGAAGAAAAAACCTTTACAGAAATGTTTGGATATGAGTTACATAAAATTGGTCAGAGGTAATTAATAATACTAATACTACTACTACTACTAATAATAATAATAATTGCTTACACTTATATAGCGCTTTTCTGGACACTCCACTCAAAGCACTTTACAGGTAATGGGGACTCCCCTCCACCACCACCAATGTGAAGCATTCACCTGGATGATGCAACGGCAGCCATAGTGCGCCAGAACGCTCACCACACATCAGCTATCAGTGGGGAGGAGAGCAGAGTAATAAAGCCAATTCATAGATGGGGATTATTAGGAGGCCATGATTGGTAAGGGCCAATGGGAAATTTGTGCAGGACACCGGGGTTACACCCCTACTCTTTTTGAGAAATGCTCTGGGATTTTTAATGACCACAGAGAGTCAGGACCTCGGTTTTACATCTCATCCGAAGGACGGCACCTATTTTACAGTATAGTGTCCCCGTCACTATACTGGGGCATTAGGACCCACATGGATCGCAGGGTGAGAACCCTCTTTGCAGTTACAATTACAGTTACAGTATGTGAGATTAAATACTGGTTTTGAATGATAGTCACGCACTTAACATATTAATGCTGTTTCAACTGATAGATTAGGGAGACACTTAATTTAGGTCTGTAATGGAAACCTTAATGTCAAAACATGAATAGACCACAGAAGAAGAAAAGTGTACTTCTGGGATTCGTCCTGCATATTGCACATTATTGCTTCACTTTGGAAATGAACAAGAACAATGAACAAGAAAACAAGTCACTGTTTGGAGCTAGATAAATAATATTTTCTTGTTTTGTCCTATTTTTCTTTGAAGTTGTGAATTGGTGAAACTCTGATTGTGTTTCCTACTTTGAAATAAAGAACCACTTGTTTCACATATTGTGAGGAGCAATATTTTGGCATTCATTTAACAGCACAGAGCCAAAAGTAGAAGCGTAATTGTTTAATTATGGCTCCTGGTAATTTTTGACATATTTTCTCAATATACAAGCCAAGAGTGACAGAATGTAAAATGCTATAGATAAAGTAATCAGATACTGAGATATGAGATACTGTATGAGGGCAGATGGTCATGAGAAAAGAAAGCATATCTTTATACAAGAGGTTGTGTGAGTCCAAAACAATTAACCTAGCCATGGTATTGAATACATCACTTCCTCATCCTAGCACCTTATTTTAAGAAATGACTGGATGAGAAACTCAGGTCAATATACTAGTATTAACCAAACAAGGTCGAATTGTGCAACAGTCAGCACAGCCAATGACCAGCCACAAGTGAATAGCTCTGACTTTTGTAAATAGGAGATAATTTTGCATTTATGATTTAAACTGAAATAATAGCAACAAGAAGCAGACTGTTATTTTTTAGATTAGTTGTAAAGCCAGTGCCCTCTTTAATTTAAAATAAAAAAGAGTACAATTTGGGTGTCAATGAATTCAATGTTATTTTGTTGGCCTAATGAAAATCCTGTGCTGCCTGATTTATGACTATGTCTGTCTTAATTGTGGCCTTCTACATTCCCCTTTCAACAGCCCAATAGTTTAACTTTGACATTTTTTCTATTGAATAGTATCGTTTAAGAGATACAAAGCTATTAAAGTACCAAGTCTCAGTTAGTGATCTTTTGTTTAATAGGCATTTAAGGGCAATACTACTACTTTTTGATTGTGAATTAAGTTAATAGAAGTGTTTGTTACCAGCGACACATAACAGTGATACAAAACAATGGCTATAAGGAGTGCACCCTGTGTGGATTTCAACAGACAAAGATGTTATGAATGAATGAATTTGAGAATTGTATGGTATTTGAAGGAGAAAGAATCTAATTTATTTGACTTACTCAATTCAGCAGAGTGCACTCCTTAAGAAGTTAAGATTATTGCCAATTTGTGCAAACAAAGTAGAAATCCTTTATTTTAATACTGTGTCAGCTGTTCAATAAGGGATAAACCTTGTAGAAAGATCAAAGCTTATTCAACAACAAATTGCACTCTCTCAAGAAAAGTCACTGAGAAAAGTCAATTGTTTTTCCTCTTATGCTTGTGTACACCCCCTTCCCTAACCCAGCTCTTGGGACTTGGTACATGTATCTGTAGTGAAATTTCCATCTGCAGCCACTCATGCATTTGCTCCAGTATGTGTGTGATGTAACCATTATCAAGGGATGTAGAGTCAAATCAGCATCTTTTATCACATGTAGGCTCTTCTGCCTCAGCTGTTCCCTACCAAACAAAAAATATCAAATGGTACAGAATGGCAACACCTTTGTCTGTGTCTTCTTTATACTATAATATGTGAGATATATAGGTCTGGGGGTTGCTTAAATCTAAATTGCACTGGCATTATGGAATATGTAATTTGCTTTGCAGTGGTCTAAGGTCCAGTAGCCCTGCACATTAAAAAACTCATACCTCTCATATTTTCATTATACAACATTATTTTGTTACTATTCACCACAATTCAATGTCTAATTCTTAGCTCTCTGCAATGTTTGTTTCATATATGCGAAATTATGTTGCCAGTTGTCATGTGCTCAACTCTATATATCTAGTTCTACATTGTTATTTGAGAAGCAATTTGGACAATGCTCTTGAGAATGTTAAATAGATATATACAGTATACTATACTGTATGTGTATTTTTTAAAATGCTTAATGTTCCTAAAATCACTTTTATTGGTATATTGTAATTGGGTTTATATATACATTTCTAGCATTTTTAACTGCTGGGCACAAAATGAAATTGCCACAGATTTTTAAAAGGTGCAGCAAAACATATTAATAATGTAACTTTATGATTGACATGCCAGTGCTTTTTCAAAAGTCTGTCTTTGCTCCTTTCTTGGTGGATTAACAAAATACATTTTGAATTGAAAGTCCTGCTGCATGATTTTGGAAAAAGCTTACAAATATTTTTTGAAAGAGCAGATCACTGCATGGTATTTTACCATTAAGCCCTTAACATAAACCTAAAAATATAAATTCAGCTTGAAATCACTTTGTATTTTTAAATGTATGAATGTATGTATGAATAATTATACTGGGAGTTCCAAGACTGATACTGAATATAATTATGGAATTAACTGATGAACCTTAGAAACATTCCTTTATTCCATAATTACAGCATATACATCCATTTGACAAGATTCTGATCAACTGTAGTCTAATAATGAGTTGCTGCTGTTTCAAAAGGCTGACCTCTTAGTATAGCATCAATATAAATGCATAATACATTTTAAAAATGTTTTTAAAATAATTTGCTGAACCTTGAAATATTTTCACAACAAATTATCTTCCTTACCTTATCCAAATAGCTAAGTAATTCTAAAATGTAATCTAGCTTTAAAAAAGAGTCTGGGAAGCCAGTTTCAGACACCCACAACTCTTCATGTAAAAAATACATTTCAAAGTCTCCTTCTTAAATGAACTTTTAGTTTCCAATTGTGAGTCAATGTCCTTGTTGAGTTTGAAATAATTTATTGGGTGCACATGATATATACTGTACTATTTTTTTTATATATATAATACACTAAGGCTATAAAGCTATAATATCCTTTTTCTGGTCTACTAACCTAAACTGAAAAAAACTTTCTACACAAAGTCTTTCTAACATATGGTACACTTTAAGCACATATGTCCTGAATTTTAAATATGGAGAGTGTATTTTAATACTCCCAGTATTGATGAGTTTTTTAATCTTTCAATTAACCTGGCAAGGGGATGGAGAATAGCAGAAAAGCCCAATCCAACAAGTTTTATAGGTTCAGAAATTAATTAATCAAGAGGTGGAATAGCTTACCTGAGATCATGAGATGATCATGAATAAACATGAGATCTGCTAAGCAATTTAGAGACAATTTTTAATGAAAATCTGTCTTCAGGGACCAAAGTTGATTTAACTGAAAAAAGACCTGCTTGACTGATCAATACAAGTGTTTCTAATCTTGAAATAAATATTTGATTTAGCGGCTTTTCACTGAACAACTTCCACCAGCCTTATCGGGTGTTAATGCAGAGTTCGCAAGTGACACTTTCACTAATTCCAGACAGAACCCGTTTAACTTGGAGATTAGCAACAGTTAAAGTTGTGATTTGTCATTTCTGTCTTCTCTCCTGGTCTATGACTAAATGCTCCGAGAATACCATTTTCAACTATATGGAGACGTGTGTGGTGTACAATAATCGCTACTACAATATTTACAATGTCTCTGATAAAAGACTTGATCGTTAATAATGATATAAAACAACCTAAAACAGTGGTTGCTCTGCCTTTCAAAGGTAAGTACGTTTTGTAATATAAGCACCGAAAACGAGGAGCACTTCATGTTTCTTTTCTTTAAGCCTTAAATGATTAATTACACAATTAAAGTTGGATGGAATATAAATATAATTTGTACTATTAAAAAAACACGCTTGGGCGTGCTGACATCACACAACCCACTCTGACTCCTCCTTCAGCCCCCTCTTCCACAAATCTCTCGCATCAGTACCATTCCTCGTATCCTCACAGCAAAGACGAGGGCAAAAGGTACCCCAGCGCTTCGTGCAAACAGCAGAGAGACGGAAGAGGGGAGCATCATCAATCTACTCTCAGCCAAAGGCATAAAATATTTGAAAAGGAAAAAAAACTGAAACAAGTAAAACAGGCGATTTAAAACAGGTATGGAGAGCCTGTTAGATAATCCTATGAAAGCCGTCCTATATCTGAAAGAACTAACCACCATTGTGCAAAACCAACAGAGTCTGATTCAGACGCAAAGGCAGCGGATAGACGAGCTCGAGAGGAAGGTGGAGGAACTGATCGGCGAGAATCGGCAGCTGAAGGACCATCACCAACCCCATCACTACCACCACCATCATCATCACCTTTCCCCTCGTAGCACTAGCCCGCAGCCTCCCGTGTTACTGCACCAGCACCCGGGGAATAAAGCCGGAGCCCACTCCGGTCAGCCTCAGCCGCAGCAGATTCAGTCTTTACCGGCACAGACTCAACATCCCCCTCCACCACCGCCGCCGCCACATCAGCAGCAGCAGCTGCAACTGGTGCCCGCTTCGCCTCCGTCCCCTAAACCGGGACAGTCGAGCCCAGACCCAGCGGAGGAGAGGAGAAGCCCGTGCTGCAAGTCTCTCGTCCCACAGACACCCACAACACTCTGCAGGGCTGTGGGAATCGCAAGGAAACCGGAGTGAGTTGATTTTATACCCTACGAAATTAACATTTTGTTGTATATTTCGTTCCTTGATCGGAATGGTAATTTTGTTTTGTTTTGACGCCTACTTTAATGTTTGCTTATTTAGTGCGTAAAAACAATGGAGAGTTATTATCATTATTACTACGACGACGGGGTAGTGTCATTAACAACATAATGATTTTTTTTGGTTTTCTCTTTCACTTGTGTCAAAGCAAACCCCGACATATGTGGTTGTAGCTCACGCGAAATGATTCATGCCCTTCCCGATAGCATTCATATAACATTTTTCTTTATCAACTTGAAGTGCTTGTTCCTTAGGGATAGCATTAATTATTCCTGAATTAATGTTATCAGGTTGAAAAGCAAAATCAAAAATTAGCTTCGATATCGACAGAGCTTTGAAAAATTGCTTTAAAGACGCAGTTAAGTCCACGAATCAAATTATCAAAGGTGTGTTAGAGAAAGTATTGTCCATTAATCCTGAAGTCACAACTTTAAACTTAAAACAAAAGATGATAAAAAATGACATAATTTGTGTTTAAAGAACAGTGTTTTATGTCAGAACAGTCAAATCCAATGACAACGTAGGACTTCATAGGTACGTTTCTGACAGCTTTAGAATCAACGTCGTACGTTTTGTTGATTGTAATTGTACAGTAGTTAAAACCTACTTTTATCGCTTGTGTAAATTAGTGTAATAATAGGAGTATTTTCCCTAACAAGGTTCACCATACTATGTGAATTCCGTATACACACACCATCTGATAGATAAACCATTAAAAAGAAAAAATAATTTGTTTTAAGGAAGCTTCCTTTCCAGAATGCTCTGTATAGTTTTTATTCTAATACAGTAAGTAGAAGTATCAAAACATTACAGAAAACAGCATATATATCCATATACTAAGTGTTATCTTTGTAATGAATATGCATGGAATGTATTAGCTTAACATACTAAAGGTAATTCTTGTATGGGGATACATAATATGTTTAAAACAGTAGTAAAAGACTAATGCTTGATTAATCCAAAGGTTTACTAAAAAGACAATTTATGACTCATAACTATACAATACTACCTATTTCCTAGCTTATAGCGGTTTTGTATGATGTACTGTATAAATGCGAAGAAAGAGCACCATTCTTTGAGTTTTCATACAGGGTTTCAGTTTTTCAAGGCATGACTAAGATTGCTGTTATGTTGTTTTCCGTCATAGTGAAGATATTGCATCAAAGGGAAAACTGCTCTTTGAAATTACTTTTAATTACTCGCTTCTTTATTTTTCTGTTGTGTAAAAACTTGTGCTTGCTGATATTTGTTTTTTGAGAGACTGAATAACTGTAGATCACATACAGTAGTAAAGTATGAACTGACAAAAAAGCAACAAACAATGTAGGAATCCCAATAAGAAACTTGCTGGAGGTTAGTGCAGAACAAGACAGGATAGTCCATTAAAGGGTACTTTTATGTTAATATTGATATTTTCTGTTCTAAAAATGTCTATACTGTATTTATAGTTAAAAGATGTCTGTTGATTGTAATAAATTGCACTGTCCTTTTTCGTATTATAATTTGATCATGCCTTTATAGCCTTTACTGTGACTTTTGCTGTGAATTTCTGAGAGGTGGTGTAAGCTTGAAACTTCTTCTTTTTGGAAGGGTAGGTGTCCATTTTCCCAAATTCAAAAGATGATGTTCTCTCACAATCAAGTTAATCCCTGCTAGATCATTCTAGGTCTTTTCAAAATCTCAATACCTCTTCAAATAATACAACAATAGAATATTGTTTTGCAGCTGCCTCATACTATGATGTACTGTAGCTGTGGATTTCTGTGAGATTGTGTGGATATATGTTAGAATTGCTTTATATTCCCATTGTCTATGGTTAACATTAAGTAATGCTTTTCCAAATTTTTAAAATGTTGTATATTTTCTGTTGCAATTATGGTTCTTATTTTTACAATATAACATGTACTGTAAAAAGTAGTACCTCCTTCATAAATAGCAGTGGTAGTAATGCAGGCAAATGTAAGACATAATTGTACCAAAAATGGCCCCTTAAACTGTGGATGACTTATTGATATTTCCCTGGGAGAGAAACCCCGCTTTATTGTATAGCCTTGGAGTAGTAAACATTTAATCAGTGAATAAAAGTGTTGGCGCCTGCTGATGAATGCTAGATATTGATTGGCAGTTTGTTGTATGCTTGCGGTTTTCAAAGACAACAAACTGACAAAGAGTCAGTGGCTGCGTGGAGAGACTGGTATTATTTTTGGCATTATGTGGAGTCATATGTGTACTGCAGCAAGACGTAGAGCAGTAGTAACAACACTGGACTCCGCAACAGAAGGAGGAACAGAGGGTCATGGGTCTAACACCCAGGTGAGACTGTTGTCATATCCTTGCATTGGGTAGCTCTTTGTTTCCCTTGTAAGCACACTGATGTATAAATGAGTATATATGAGTCTCCAGAATATGAGAATATGTTCTTGATTGACTTACATAGTGAAATCAAGTAATACAAAACATCAACAACAGAAACATTATTAAGAAATAGATGATTTTTCCACCCTATGTGTTAGTCCCATAGAGGCTATGCAGCATGTAATAGGGTAAGTAATGGGTTAAAACCATTTGTGTTTATAGGGGACGAAGATGAGAGAGAAGCTCTTCTCATGTGACCAGCTAATGGTCAAATCGCTCTTCTCCTTACTGTGTCTAGATGGAGGTCAGATACTGGTGTTGCAAATGTCATTCTGAAATCCAGTTCATTTAAAATATGAGGTATTACAAGGGCTTTTTTAGTGGTGCCACACTTTACTCATATGAGCTATGACACAAATAAACCTTCAACATTTTCTGGCACAGATATTATACAGTACATTTTTTTGTTTTGGAAAATATTAATGGTGAATTAAAATGATAACAGCTTTTCGTAGTATAGCCAGCTTCAAAATACCCCATAAATACAGTACTGGCAGTACTGCAGTACTTTTGCAGACAAAACAATTATAAATGTGTGGAGAATTAGACTGTCCAATGTACTGTATCATAATTTCCACTGCAGGTTTCATAAGAAATCACATTTCATCTTATATACTGCCACTATAGTAATCGCATACATAGTTGTCTTTACTTTCAGATACTCTATGAGCTACAGGGATTACAGTGGTTTTGAAGATCAAAATATCTTCCAGTATGGGCAACAGTTTTCAGTTAATACTGTACTGTATGTTGAGGGAGCTTTCCGTGGTGCTGAATCTTTCTGTAAGCATTTTGTTAGGTCAGGAGAAACAAATGAAGGAGAAGCTGCCACAAACAATGAAGACAAAAGGCATTATGATGTAAATTTACTGAAAGTCCTACAAGAGGAAAGTAATTTCATTTAAAATCTGGATGATGTGAAATGCCATTTTTAAGTTCTTCTAATAATTTTTTAAGTATATGATAAACAATGGTTCACAGAAATGCATGAAGAACAACATGATTTGTTGTAATATTATAGGTAATCTAATTTATATTAGATTAGTAATATTATATAGTAATATTCCAAGTATTATAAGTAGTTTTGTTACCTGCCTTCTTGTTTTTACAATTAATTTGTTTTATTTTGTAAAATAAAGTTTATATTTGGAATACATAATAGCTGGTCATTATAGTATGCTAGTACTGTATATACTGTAAAATAGTTAGTGAGCAAAGCACAATTTGAATTTTGTGTGCATAGTAAACAAATTGTTAAATTTAAATTATATCACTATGAGTTTTTCTTCTGCTCTGGTGGTTTGTGAAAAATGACTAGATCATCACTTTTTAAACAATGTGATAACAACTAAATTATGAAGTGCTTTTGATTTTCAGAAGTGGCAGAATGTCAAAAGACAGAGCTCATTAACAATACAATTTTGCTAGATTTCCTTTCGTTTTGCCATCATTAATGTGTATATGTTACTTAGTCATACAATTTAGACAGGATTGTTTTAAAGGGATTTAGAATTCACAAATAATTTTCCCTCCATTTACATTTGGGTAGTTGAGTTCAAGTATATTTTTTATTCAAACCAACATACTGTAACAACAGCTCCACTGGAGAGGGAGAAGGGAAGATGACATGTTCATCCTTACAGATATTTTGAATCACTTAGTCAGCTGTCTTTGCTTTAATCCTGTAATGATAAAAAAGGGCATTAGTACCAACTAGTGGCCAGTCAAAGCTCTAACTGATATGATACCGTCCCATCAAATCACTGTTCTGGTTGGTGCACAAGATCTACTAGCTGTCTCCAGCCTGCCAGACCCCATCAAACTGTGTGTAGCCATATAACTGTGTCAAATATCCTGGAAATAGCCACTTAAATTACACTTCTAAGATTCCTCCATATCTGTTAATGTATGCTTCTCCAAGAACCTTTGCAATATTATTACAATACTCCAGAGTTAGATTTTTAGAGTGGCTGAGACATCAAAAATCCTGACACACCATTCAGTGCAGCTGGATCTGATGCATTTTTAAAAGATTTTGTCATAAGTACAGTAGATTGGCAATGTTTAAGATTTAAGACAGTCAACAAATTATAGTAGGTGAGCTTAAATACTAATAAAAGATAAGAACCTTTTTCACAGATGACAATGTTATTTGCAATCAGTGTTGGTACATTAAAGCACCATTCAAGCCCCAAATTAGTAATATTACTCTTAATTTTCTGCAAAGGCTGATGGTGTGAAGTAACTTCTATAAAATATTGGTTTGCAAAGTCCAGTTTTTTGAAATGCAGGGGAATTAGTGATAAAAATGCTGTGAAAGTCATGATCTTGTTTTCTGTGGGGGCTGCTTGACGTCAATGTTAGACACGAATGCCACAAGCTGTGTGTGAACTCCGGAGAAGCAGCCTTTCGAAATGCCAGTGCACTTGACATCATGCAAAGCAATGCAGGGAGAGAAAACATTGTGATGCATATGTCATGAAAGTATCTTGCAGTACAGAAAAGCTTTACAAAA